AGCATTAAACCTCAGTCAAAATCTAACTTTCTACTATGATTGTTATATTACGACACTCATTAGGCTTTTCCAAGATTTCCTCCCAAAGAAGCTTCTATTTGCCTTGCTGCACAAAACATGTAGAGCTAAATATGTTTTCACTCATACAGGTCATGTCATTATTCCCATCTGTTATTAGAAGAACAAACATGTTTTTATTGATTTAACTTTGACTATATTCTGTTTGACGAACAGTCAGCTATGTGGTACTTCAGTAACAATAATATTAATACTTAAGTGAATGACTAAAATGATAATTAGTGGTATTATTATTGTTATCATTACTGATGCTATAGAAAATACGTTAATCACTTTTACGAATTATGAAATAGCCTTCAAAAGTCAACAGATTTTACATACGTCTTCCTAATGATTATCTTCTCTTACTTAGTCTTAAATAATAGTGATCATATCTCTGGACTTAATGATCAAATTGTACATTTAATTTTCTACTCATAAACAGATGGTAGATTCAAACACATAAATCTAAAATCTTCAAATATTGAAGAGAAATTGTGAATAATAACAGTGTTAATCAACCCATGTATTAGACTAAAACGCCCTGCAAGGAAGACGTTTCCCGCAATAGACTGGATTCAGGAAAAATAAGTCATATACAGAAGAAATTGCAATACCACGCATCATTATGGGTTAAAGTTTAAATTAGCAGTGAACTTAGTGCTTCAACTCCACAGACTATGAAAAAACCTATAATAGCGTTGACTGAAAAAGTAATTTATCAACTGCTTCAACAATAGTGTGTGCAGAATGGTAAACATTTATAAATATCACTTAACAATTATGTGGTGATAACGCATTCCAGCTAATTAATTCACAACGGAAAGTTTACTGAAGTATTTCGACTGAAGGTGGGAGTATGACAAAGCTGCTTATTATCGTAAATGATCTTGCTGATTTTGGTAGACTGGGTCGTGGGGAACGAGAAGACAAGCATACGGGTGCCTAAGACCAACGGGTGCTCTGTGTGCAGAAGAAACGTGTCCATCCAATGTCACTGCTCTGGCCTGCTAGGGAGTCTGTAAATTCATGAATACCTTATTACATGGACCTTTTTTGACACGGCCCTGCATTCTGGACAGACAAATTCCCCTATCCTTTGTCATTACACTTGCATTAACTAGCCTTTTGTTTTCTTATTTAAAGGTAGTGGTTAACTTATACCCTAACACACATACAACGCACATGAAATTCAACCTAGTTTGCGAGTCATCGGCTGTACGCACCCACTACCAGGGCTCGAACCCAGGACCTTCCGGTTACAAGGCAAGCTCGTATACCATTCAGCCACTGGAACCCGATTCAATGGCTCGTGAATTCTAACTTCTAACAATTCGTGATTTAGCGCGACCCCAACCATTGTCGTTGGTGGGACATCCATCCACACACGTGACATCTAATTAGACCTCACTGGTCACGGCTTCTCAGGAAACTCCAACCTGTAGCAAGTCACCAGCGAACATCAAATTAATTTCCTATAGTTTGGTTTGGATGGATGTCCCACCAACGACAGTGGTTGGGGTCGCGCTAAATCATGAATTGGTCGAAATCAGAATTCATGAACCATTGAATCGGGTCCCAGTGGCTGAATGGTATACGAGCTTGCCTTGTATGGGAAGATCCTGGGTTCGAACCCTGGCAGTGGGTGCGTACTGCAGATGATTCCCAAACTAGGATGAAACAGCAGCTATCCAGTACTCCCTGGTTTTCAATGGTTCCCTAACTGATATCAATCCGTGATCAACTCGTAAAACATAACTAACCCTTACAAACCGAACTATAGAAAATTCAACCCCAAAAATCTTTTTTCTCTACCCCCGACCTTGACATGATCACTCATTCAACTGAAGTTTACAATCGATATCAATAGAAGAACTTAATATGAACATGACTCATGACAATTTATGACTAGACATTCATTGCCATTCATAATCATTTACTTTGTAATATTTGTATTCAATTTAGTAGTATACATACAGTAATACACATTACCACATGTACATATATTTTCGACTATAATCTATTAACAGTCTATTTGCAAATAAAGTTTGCAATTTCGATCTAAGTGATTCGCTGTTACTCATCTTAAAAAACCATTAATGTAATCAATAACAATCATTCTGTCATTAATATGGATATATAACTGTAGAACCTGATGATGAAGTTATCGAAAAGACCATTCTTTGTTCAAGAATCAATCTTTTATAATTATTATATATTAGAAGGCATTTAAAAATATTAGGTATTGAATACTTTTATGTAAGGTAAGGCTTAGCTATAAAATCTCAAATAATTGCCAACTGCATCTTGATCCGCATATCTTCTCTACTACTACTAATACTATTATTATAGATAAGATTGTCTGTTAGACATAAGTAGCCTCGATTTGAAAAGTTGATACTGAATCGAAGTCGTCGTTTAAGAGAATCTGATTTTTGTTTGGTTCTGAATCAACCTACCCCTTAGCAAACTATGAACCATGTGTTAATTTCACTCTCGTGGTTTTAAAAGTATTTTTGTCTAGAAAAGAAGTAACTTTTTGTTTGTAGTCATTATCTTCACCATCACACAAGTTGCTCAATCACATCTCTCTTTAGAATTTAAAAGAAGTCATACTGAATTGAAAGAAGAGAACTTTGTTGAAATAACTCTGACTTAATCATTTTGGATAGATTACACTCAGTAGTTGATTTTAATGTAAGTGGATGACAGGGCGGGTTTATGTTTATTCAGGAGCACTGATACAGTAATGGGGATCATATCGTAATCTAGATCCGCTATTTTCTTTAACATATCATATTAGATGATGATAATTTAATGAATGTAGCCTGATATCTTCAAACGAATACCAACACTTTTTATTGATCGTAGATCTAACTGATAAGATTGATTATCGATTGCGTTTGCTGATTCAGTTGCTTCGGTAATATAGTTTCTAATTTTGTGTAGCTAAAACTTCATCTGTCGAACTGATTAATACACATTTTTACATTGACCACAGATAACTGGAGAAACTGATTAAATCTTTATACAGCGATGAACATTCACAAGTTTTGTTTTCAATTACTGTCTATCAGTTTAATGAGGGCTAGTTTAATATTAATAATAATAATCTGTTAATTTATATATTTCATCATTTTAGTGGATTTAAAGCTATTAAAAGAACCAATCCATCTGAAGAAAGATATTAGTGTTCGTATATCATTGAGATGATTGCTAAAGCTGACAGAAAGTCCACTATCTTCAGGAGTATTTCTAACATTGCAAACTGCATCCCTCACAATGTACAAAACTTGAATCACATTTGAAACCAACTGACACTAGATAATTATCATATCCTACCTTGGAATTCTTCAGCGATACATAGTTACGATCTTGTGGAAGATTCGAAGGCTTCTTCTCCACTATTTGGCTGGAATTCAGTCTCCTTCGTTCTCTAAGCTTTGTTGATTTGCTAAACAAACTGATCATTAATCAGTGTCATCGATGAGTAACTATGGTAGCACTGCCTATTCAGTTAACACGACTTGTCAAGGATTTTTATGAGGACTTCAGAGAATGCATCTCAAAGTTTATTACGCTTAAACGCATAGAACATTATATTTAGATTTAATGATTTCTTAGTAATGTGATTAACAGATGACTTAACGGACCTGACTTCCATTATAAATAAAGTTGTCGATGTGCACTGCTAATAAGCCATATATTAACGTAATACAATCATCCAAGAACTTTTTCTTTTAATAGTTTATTTATTTTTATTTTTTTTTTTTTTTTTTTTTTGAAATTCCCACCTTTTTGAATGATTTGGGATGCCAATTCGGCCCCAAATTTGGCGCGGTGGGGCCATGCTGTGGGGGGAGCCAACCTGCCCCACTTAGTCTACAGTGTATTCTATCTGGCGAAACCGCGTTTAAAATACGTGTGTATCTCTAAATGATGATTTCATAAAATAAAACTCTGAGGACATTTGTCACCAGTATCTTTAAACTAAATTTTTGAAAATATTGCCTAAATTGTCACATATTCTTAACATGTGTTATGGTTTTCGAGAATCAAGTAGATGTATAATTTCATCACTTCACTTATTTAAGTAGTTGTGGTATCATAGATACGTAGAAAGTCATTATAAGAACGCAAATGCATTTGATTTTCACTTCCTGTATTAGTGTACTTTACGAAATTATGCTTATTGTGACTAAATTTGGCTTGAATTCATTAAATTCTCCATAAAACATAAGAACTTATTATTAGCTCACTTTGCAATAGCAACTAAGTTTCAGGTGGATTCCACAAGGTATGGATGGCAAAGACTACCAAGTCACGTATATATTACTTAGACTTTTAGGGGTCCCATATTACAAGTGCGTTGAATAGTTACAATGGTCACTTTATGTCAGCTACTCGGGAGATTCGGCTTCGATTCGCAGCCGACACACTTCTAAACCTCTACTAGTCTACAGTAAACCTAGAAGGGAGGGAAGTTTGGGTGTGAGGCTAACAACCCCAATCCGTAAAAAAAAAGTAAAATCAAAGATACTGAAAATTCAGGGCTTGAGATCGATTTATTCCACTTAGAGTGCATAGAATGAAAGCAAATGTCATGTCAAACAACGACTAGACCAGGAAACAATATTAGGATATTAACTAAAGTAGTGGTCTAAATTCGAATTTTTGTATATTTTTACGAATGAGGGAGTTGAATATATATATATATATATATATATATATATATATTGAGTAGACTAAACTATTCCTCTCTGCAACCTTCAATATCTTGAAAAGTCCAGTGGTAATAAATGCGAATAGCCCAAAACTCAACTAACAGTTAATATTTTTTTGATTAATGTAAGTAGACCATCTCTGAGTATACGCCTAAATTTTAATGCCTAAAATGTCTAAACTTTATTTTTGGTTTTTGTGTGTTGTTCTTTAATGTAAGTTTAAAAGTTTTTTCTTGTACAAAAGTAACAAGCATATTCTATTAAAGGGGAATTATCAATACTCAGTATTTTTGTCGGTAATATATTCTCACCATCAGTAATAATAGCAATATGAACACCATCCTCATAATAATAATAACAATAACAACAACAGTAGTGACCAAGTTACCAATGGTATTGTCTCAAACATTTTAGACATTAATCTTATGTTACTACTAACATCCTTGAAATCTGAATTAACTGTTTCAAAATTTGATTTATTCTCATTAGCTTCAGTATTCTGATTAGAATCTTCCTTATTATAATTATTATTACTGCTACTACCACCAGTAGTGTTGTGAGCACCGTCCGTGTCTGAAATACTGAATTGTTCTGGATCCATACCACCATAACAGATTGTACCAACTTCTAAGGATATCTCTGAGTCATATAAACTAATTGTTGATATTCTAATATCACGAATAGGTAGAAGTGTTGGTTGTTTTGTGCGTACAGTTAATAGTAGACTGCCACTTTGTTGATGCTATAATGAAACAAAAAGATACAAATTAAATAAAAAGTAATGTAAATTTAGTTGTACTTATTGGTATTAAAGTCAATTGAGGTGGAAATTAAGAAGAAGTCTGTGACAGGATTCAAACTAATGCCTTCTATATCCTCCACCAAGTACCACAAAATTTGACAGCTGAACAGGTTCTGTATTATGTCACTGATCTATTTGTAGCTTACCATCACTCCAGTGTATTTAAAGTGTTGATTAGGCGTAACAACTTCTACTGCATTTATCAATATGTCAATGAGTTTTATGGTATTATTTAAATGCAGTCTTTTATGTAGTGAATGAAATTAACACTTTTAAGTGTTATTCACTTCTAGGAAAATCATTCTGATAAGATTTACCAATATATTTCTCTGAAGGAACAGTTTTTGGCGCAGTTTATTCAGGTAAAAAAGCCTGTATGAAAGACTTCTAAATTCATACATTTCAAGATTACCACCGCATAAATAATCTATTAGAATCATGATAACCGGATACATCCCAGTGGAAAATAAACATGTATGCATGCTATAGGAAACACGGTTACTAGGTTGCCTTCGTCAATAATTGAAGACACTTAGAAAACCGCTGAAAATAAAGCCATTTTACGATAACTTGGATGAAACCTGCTTTCAAGACAATCTACTACCCTCATAGAAAAATAATACTATTTGACCACGTATAAGTGACCAACTACAATGTAGATGAAAATGAAAAAAATTGCGTCAGTCAAATTGACGTAGGGATAATTAGTCAGCATAACGCCAAATAATAGTTGCATCATATCAAAAATATTAATACTTTCGAAATAGTTAGTTATTAGATTATGATTAAATAAATAGCAACATACCAGCCATGAACTAAAGCTATTCTGATGTCGTTGATGGGCACTAATGAAATAACCCTCAGTTTTTCCTAATGGTATCATCTTAATCGAGTTTATATGAGTGATACAATTTTTGTGTGCCCAATAACCATTCAGCCAAACTATCAGGCAGAGCGATCCACAAGTCAGTTAGTATCAGTTCAGTGTAGTCTTGTCAATCAATTAGTCAGTCAATTGTGTCACACTAATACAAACAAATTTGTAACAGACAGTCAGTCACTAGTAATCTGTGTGTCAGACCGATAAGATTTTCAGTCGTCAGAATGAAATGAAAACTTGACTAGCAAATGGATTTCATATTTCAGTTGTCAGAACAGTGATCTCTGACACAGCGGGTAATTATTTGAGTTCATTTCCATAATAGGCTTTTTTATATGTTTTAACCGTATCCTTCTTGCATTAAGATTAGTCTGTCAAGTCTAGAGTATCTTGGTGAGCTCTCAAGCCTAAGAGATAGACCTAGTGTTTAAAACGCGACTGTTGAGACTCTTCAGTCTTGCAGACAGTGCCTTAGAGCTTTAAAACTTCCAGTAAGAGTATGAACACTGACCGCAATGGAAATGCTTCCAAATGAAAAATCTCACAAAGGTCTAAACAGGCTTTGTAGACTCTGATACTTACCATCACCTCGAAAAGTATAACAACAGCATTCCTCTAGTTAACTGCACTGGAGCATCTGTTACTAATGCCTGTGTCATTGATTCATTTCTATGTATTAACTCATATAATAAAACACCAGTATTCTTCTCTCTCTAATCCATCAAAAACAAACTTCTGTCTACACGTGAACTGAATTTTGTTTATTTATTGTGTTTAACGCATTTATGTACATAACATATTTTGTATACTTTTTACACGTATTTATATCGTTGAAACAGATAATTTGGTTTATTGATTGGTTTTCAAGCAAACAAAAAACTCACAACAGCCCTGATTTTAAAAACCAACAACAATTAACTGATTTTAAGGATTATAAATTTGTGTGTTATTGAATAATTTAAAAAGAACTTATATATATGGACAGAAGGAGTAATGGCATTTAAGTGTTTGGAATATTTATACTATAAGGCAGTATCATACGGTTAAACAGTGTCTGTCTGATCATTTGACTGTACTCTGATTGACCTATCCAATGATCAGCTAATTTGATGTGTCCCACCATAGGAATAGTTTATTTAGATGACCTCTTGTAGTCCTTTTTTTAAAGCTTACTAACTTATACAACATATTAAAGCAATGCTCCGTGCGAAGGTCGTTTTTTTTGTAAGTCAGTCACCTGCTGCATATTTTATAGACACTTTTAAAAATCTCTCTCCATTTTTATTTGATGACGGTAGATTTCACTTGTAATACTTGAACTTATTACTTAGATTATAATACATACTTTTAAGAAATTAAGGTTGCGTCTATTTAAAAAAAATAAGTAATTCACATCACAGGTCTTCATTTTGCTTATGTGTTGTCAGAACTCTTGAAGTCAGAAAACACACTCTTTTTTCGGTCACTGAAGCGTTTGGTGGTATTAAGCATATTTATGCTTAATTAAATTAATATGCTAAAAAATAATGTGTATCAACGTTTTCAAAAGAAGCGCTTTAAAATAATTCGTTTCACTGTAAGTGTCATAATGAAATGTTTGGTTAATTTAATTTATTATTGCGGCCAACCGTCAACGTTAAGATTTTAAAGTTGTTTTTTTTCCTTTTCAAACTTTGACTTTTGTGGAAGTTTGTATGAATTTTAGTGTACATTTTACTAAGAACCATCATCATTTAAGAGTCATTTGAGACAAGAGAATACTGAAGAGCTCTTTTTTCCCAGTTTGGAACTCTTCAGCACCGTGCACTCTATCAAGTAACATATCCTGAGATCTTTGGGTTAAGATACTAGCTGGTTGATGATTTAGTCACCTGGTTAGTATTGGCTGACCCATTGTAACCAGTAGGGACCACTAGTTCAGAGTGAAGTAGGTGCTAACTGTCGGCATTGGTTGGTGGTAGCGCTATATTTCATACTGACAGAACTTAGAATCTATGGGCCATTCACTTTTGACCCAGTGGCTCAGTGTCCAACCATCTGGTTGGTTGGTTCTGGATTCGATTCGTGGTGTGGTGAGCATTGTACAGGAATCTAACACTGGAACAAAACATTTGTACAGTGCTCCCTGGTCTTCGAAGATTCTCTGACTCATGTTGGTTCGTGATGAAATCTGCTTTATTCTTTCTTTGTTAACACACATCTGCATAATGAAGCTGTATCAAGTACTATGCTACCTGTGTCGATTATCCGTTAGAATGAAACAAACATCCCCTCAGGTCTCTTGAATGTTATAATGGTTATAGTGCTGTTTCAGAGTTTAACATACCGCGTTCCCCATAATGACGATAACAGCATGTAGACACAAAACGTTTCTTGGTTGACAGTATATATATATATATATATATATATATATATATATATATATATATATATATATATATATATATAATGATGTAGCAGTTGAACAAACAAACACGTGTGAGATATTTTATCAAATTGACAAGTTTATTCATTCAAATTGCACTTAAAGTCACCAACTAATTTTAAACTGAACTATGGATAGCACTGAATTATCTTGGTGCTGTTGATTTCTTGCATCTATAAGGTTTGATTGTGAAGCTTTCATTGTCCAGCTCGAAGAGCACAACTCCACTGAAACCATCCACGTGGGCTACAAATCTTCTCCATTATTTCAAATACTGAATTATGTAAATTACGATTATCACAAAGATTAAACAAGCACCTGAGAAGGTATTACCTCAAAATGATAATAAAAGTTGTTATAATTTCAGTCTCTGGTAATAATGTATAATTAAACGTGAACCAGATAATTTTTAGTAGATAGGTTAATCAAGTACATACATGCATTTAGTTTGCACAACTGGTTGACTTGTAAATTACGCCTCAGTTTGTGCTAATACTCTTTTTCTTGTCATGTAACATCTTCCCGCCCATCCTGTATACTTTACCTTGCGTATTTAAGCTCAGTAGATTTCTGAATACGGATACTAAAAGTGTTTCAGAATGACTAGAAGTCTGGATGAACATAAAGTGTTTTTTTTTAAATAATCATTTCTCATCAATCGGTGACACGGTTTATTTGTACTTTTTGGTGTCTCCACTCAAATCCAGCGATCAGCACAAAACCAATTGTAAATACAAGAAACATTGTTTTACCATGTATGAAGAACATTCCTGAATACATTGCTAGAATGCTAAAATCGTTTAGAATATTTTTTATTTTTTTTATTTTTGATTTACAGCTTGATTCCACACCGTATTTTTGGTACAAGTATGGAATTTTCAGCGTGGATATCGGTAGCCCAAAGTTCGCAGGCCGACCATAGATATCATGTGTGCGTCGGCGTGGGCTCCAACCCCGGACCATGTGCATGGTCGGCGAGAGTCCTAACCACTGTGCCACCGACGCCACTACACACCTACACGGTGAATCAGTAGTTCAGTGACTGAATAGTTGCCAGCCACGTCAGACGTTTAGGTTTGATTCCCAGTAGACGAACCCCTAAAAGTCGCCTGATTTACTATGTGGTAGTAGGCCTGGAAAAGAGGGAAGGCTAAACATGAGGATAAGATTTTATTTTGATAAATCACACAGTGTTGTATAGTAATATTAACTGATGACGTTTCGAGCACAAACTATTGCTCATAATCATATCATGAGGATAACAATCCAACCTCATAAAAGAAAGAACAACTTCGTCGCTAGTGAGACTTCAGCAGCTCGACATCTTATGTTATTTTCGGGACATAAGGAATGGAAAAACATATGTCGACACAGTGGCTTCATTCAGTATTACATGGACCAGGAAACCAAAGAGAACACGAAGAAAACGCCGCAATCACTTAAAAGACAAACTTTATCAGCTGCCCAAAGGGGACATCCTTTTCATCTGAGCATCCAAGAACATTAACCATCAGTCAGAAGACCAGACGTGTATTCTTTCATATCATCTCATGTGGCCTGTTACAGAGGCCAATTCGACAGGAAGAATCTCAGAAGATCCTTACAAGTTTACTATCTGCATTGATCTCCACTAAG